TGGAGATGCCAGCTGCCCCCACCTCTCCCCTGCCAACCCGACTGTCTATGATCCTAGGGAGCCCTGCCTGCCCCAGGCTCAGCCTCCGCGGTGGCTCTGAAGACAGCAAGCAGGACGCAAGAACTGATCTAGGCTGAAAGCGAGGAGGGGGCTTTCTTTGACTACTTATGCGGGGAACTCGAGGGTCCCATCCTTTGGCCCCAGATCATCTCAGGATCTAAAACCACCTGAAGCTGCCATCCTTCTTTCACAAACCCAGGGAAGATTTCCAAAAAGATAATCTGAAGCAGAGTCCCTTCCTTGCCTGGGCTGTAAGTTCTTCTTCGAGTCTAACCTTGGTCCCTTGCAGAGGGGTGGAAGGGGGCAGAGATGAATCGCAGTTTCTTATAAACCTGGTGGCTTCTTGTTCCCCGACGACAATATAGCGGAGGAGCTCTGTGGTTCTGGCTCTGAGTCAGGCCCCCTCGCCTGGGCGTCCCCAGTGCCATCTCTCTCCGCCCCACCCCAGACTGGAAAATCAGGCTCATGCCTCTGCCCGAGTCAGTGCTTCCCCTGCTTCCCCTCACGAATCTCGCTTTCCCCTAAAGGGAGGTATTTCCTCGAAGCTGGGAAAAGTTAAGGGGGCAGAGGACTTGCCAGCTATGCGGAGATGGGGAGATGGGGGAGGCGGATGGTGGGCATGGGGCAGGGGTGTGGCTATGCTGCCTTCCCTGTCCTCCCCCTCCCCCACTGTGCCCAGCTCCCCAGTCCAGCTCTTCTAGCTCAGGATGTGTGCACCAGAGCGCAGAGCTTGGTGTGTGTGTGTTCACACACTTAACACACATATATGGTTGGTATTGGGGGTCGGCCCCCCCAAGTCCCCAACAGTGAGGAGGGGGAGGAGGATGGGACGTGTCATGCTTCTGGTATGCCTGTGAATGGTACTATTTTTCCTAAATGCATGTTCTTTATATGTTCGGTGTCCACACGTGGTCTGCTTCCCTCCCAGAATCATAAGTCTGGTCAGTACCCACCTCCCTACCTTACAGCCTGGGTCAGTAAAAGGATTCCCTCCCCCTCCTTAAACGAAAAGAAGCCCCCTGGCTTGGGCCGCCCCAAAGGTTGGGGGACTCGAGGATCAAAGAGGAGGTAGGCATTTCCCTTCTCAGAAAACAGACTCTTCCTCTGCCTACCAACCAGGGGACCCCCAGCCCTCAGCTGCTGGGGGCTGTTCACAGAGATGGGGTCCGTGTGCAGACCCTCCAACTTCCCACCTGCACAAAGGCTCAAAGGGACAAGAATCCCGTCCTTGTGGTTCCCAGACCCCAGGTGAGGGGAGTTTGGGGAAAGCGAATCCTGGGGAGAGTGTGGTTAGATGGCCTGAGTCAGCAATCTAGAACTCACGTGTGCCCACCCCCAGCCTGGGGCAGGCAGGGGTAATGCGGGCACCGAAACAGAAAGAAAGATGGGGAGACAGAATGAGAACAGGAGAGAGAGAAACCGAGACAATGGCCAGTCAGAAAGAGAGTGAGGGGTCTAACGGGGACGGGGTCGAGGCTGGGCACTGGGGGCTGCGAGAACACAAGTGATGAGGGAGCCGGCAGGAGGGTCAAGGGTCCCTTTGCCCTTCTCTTTCTTCGCTAGCAGCGCTGAGCCACCAAAGGTCAGCACTGGAAGAATCCAAGAACCCAAGTCTTTCATTTCAAGAAGGGGAAATGAGGCTTAATGATAAAGTCACCAAAAGGGAAAACCGGGCAGGGGTAGGACCCACCCTCCTGCCCCAAATGGAATCGGGAGGACTAGGCAGGGGGAATGTTCGGTCTCAACCTTCTGGATAGGTGATGCTGGGGGTGGGGGTTGGGGGAGAACTGGAGACTTGTCTTGACACGTACTTGCTTGCCAAGTACACTTCTTCCTTTGAGACATTACAGATCAATAATAGCTAAACTTTCTAAAGGATGCTTTAACCCCACTTTACATAACATTGAGATGAAGGGAGGCGACCTCCTCCCTTGCGGATGCCCAGGAAGGAGGAGGGAGGAAAAGGGGCCCAGAGTGTTTTATCCAAAAGAAAAAAAAAAAAAACAAAAAAAAAAAACCAGTCCCTCTCTTACGCGGCCCACCTCTACCCGGAACTCAGGATCACCTGGGTTCTCTCTTCCTGACTCAGGTAAGGATGGAGAGGTAGACCCTGTCAGCTCTAGAACTATCTGTCTAAATCACACGGACTGCAGGCCTGGGGCTGGGCATTCCCATTCACAGCCTGGCTTCTCCCATCCCCCGCCCGCCCCCCCCACCTGAAAGACCACCAGCAGAACTTGGCCCGGATGGCAGAGGGGACCTGTCTCCAGGTCACATGGCCACCAGGTGTGGGGGAGAGGAGGGGAACTCCCAGCAAGCACTCTGGTCCCAGGCCCAGGCACCAGCTGGGCTGCCAAGCTGATACCCAGGCCTGCCCAGGGGACCTCCGTGCCCAGTCCCGCCCTCAGCAGCAGGCAGCTTAGCTCCTGGCTCACTGGAGACTGGGAGCTGGAAAAGGCAGATTGAGAGGAGACCCTCTGGGGGACCTGAGTGTCCTCATCCTCGGCCCCTCCCTGTTCCAAACTGTTGGATAAGGGCAGTCCAGGAATGATGTTACCCTCCACCTTGGTGACCTCCCCGCCAAGCCCCCGGGAGCCCAAAGACACAGTGCCTGCCGCCCACCATGTGGGAGCTCAGATCCCATCCAAAGCAAACCACTTTTCCATCTCTGCCTCTGCCTCCTCCAAAAATTTGGGGGGCTATTAAGGGGGGCTTCCAACCCCTTTAGTCATCCTAAGAAGCCGAGCTGAATAGTGGTGACTGATAGTCACCTAACCACAAGCCAATTCTGTGGTTTGAGTTGTTTTCAGGGGAGCAGCAATGCACCAGCAGAAGGCCCAGGGCAGGGGAGGTGCCTCCTGGACCCCTGCCTTTGCCCTTGCCCTTGCCCTTGCCCAGGGCCCCAACCCCACCTCCCAGATGCACAGAGAAGGCTCTGAAACCACCAGGAAACCCTCGCTCTCCCCTCTTGCCTCCATGTCCGCCTGGCATCATGACTGGTTAGGGGGGCTTCTTCCTACATCCACGACACACATTTTTCTTCTCTTCTTTTCATTTCATTTCATCCATGGTTTTCCCCCTTTGCTTTCATTTCCTTTCCTTTTCCTTTCTTCCCTCCTCCCCTCCCTTCCTTCCTTCTTCCCTCTCTGCCCCCTTTCCTACCCTCTTTCCTCTTACATGTGTGTGGCAGAAATAATTTAGGACCCGTAGTGAAGACAGCAGAAGCTGCTGGAAGGCCCCCAAATGTACATGGCCTGCCAGGCCCCAAAACCAAACCTACAGATACCCAGGCCCAGTCTCCAGCTCCTTCAGCTGTGGTACCCACTGCCCCCAGTCACAGAGCACATCTGTTCACCTCCCTCACAGGCTGGGAAAAGATCAGGATTAGCAACAAGGGATACTCACCACACAACAGATTTTAGAAGACTTTCGGAAATATAGAATGCCAAAATGTCAGAGCCAAGAAAGAAATTAAAACCACCTGGTCCAGAACCTTCTTTTTTTTTTTTTTTTTTCCTCAAATTGAGAAGCGGAAGCTCTGAGAAGTGATGCAATGTTCCCAGAGCATGGTTAGGACCAGAGGTCCTCACTCTCAGAACGTACTCTAACCGCCTCCCTTCACTGGACGGCAAACTGCGGGGTTTCTCGCCTTCAGGGAGCAGCATTGAGCGGACCCTTTGTCCTGATGACCAGGGAGAAACATAAGCCAACCAGGGAACAGGCCAGGCACAAGGAGGCAGAGAGGCTTATGTTTTTTCCAGAAACACACAGCATCCCTCTCCTTGTCCTCTTCCTCCAGGAAGTCTGCCTGGATTAGCTATGGACCTGTCACCCTCCACACATGGAGGGAGAGAAGGAGGGAACAAGGCTGAGAGAGATGGGCCTGAGTGCCAAACCCAGCTCAAAGCCCCGAGGGACAGGGAAGGAGGAGAAGTGAGAAAGGCCAGAAGTGGGATCTGGACAGGAGGCGCCGTGGGGAGAGAAGGTAGGGAAAGGAGGCGGCATCCCCAGGGGAGAGAAGCGGCCCAAATGAGTCACGGCTGGTCAGGTGCAGCTCTCCTGGGGGTGCCCATTTTTGGTTAAGCTTTATCATGTGATTTCTAAGAGTGGTGGGCTGGAGCTGGCTCCCACCAGCTTGAAAAAGCAGATTATGTCCCCCTCTTCCCAGGGCTCCGTGCCATCATCACGGCAGCTGAAACTGGAAAGCCCGTTGTTAGACACTGACCAGCCCAGCTCTGGGTAATGGGGGCGACTTCCAAGCCAGGAGCCCGTGTGTCGGTGTGCGTGTTGGCCATCATGCACCATTCCCAGGGTCCCCATGGGGTCCTATATGAGTGCGAGACAGTGCGCTGTGACACCTGGGCTAGATCCGTGTGGCACTGTGTTCCCAGTGGTGTGAGACTCCGTGTGTGTGTGTGCCGTGCGTGTGGGAGGAGTGCGGCATCCCTGAGAGCCTGGAATGTGAGGAAGGGTATGGTGTGTGTGTGTGTATGTGTAACTGGGACTGTCATGTGCCTTGTGGATCTGGGGCTAAGTGTGACAGGGTGAGTCTGCTGGACAGTGGGGAAGAGACCCGCATGTGCCCGCTGTCGGGGATTAGGACAGTGCCCGGGACCAGAGACCCATAAATCCCAGAGTTCTGAGGACTCAGAGTGGGTGGTGGCTGAGGGCCCATCTGTGAAGTCCCACTCGGGCCTCTGTCTCTGTCGCTCCTGGAGGGAGTCGGATGCCAAGGCAGGATCTCCCTGACTCTAGGCAAGGATCCCTCTGATCCCAGGGGGAAACAGTCCTCTTCCGTGCCCCTCACCCACGTTTTGGGGTGAACCATCCCCTTCACACCATCTCCAGATCTTCCCTGTCACCTCCCATCCACACTTGGCTTTTGTCCGGGGAGCAGGACAGCTCAGGGGCCTTCAGCACCCACAAGGCCAAGGAGGGACATGATGGGCACGCAATCAGCCCCGCCCACTTACCTCCCTTTGCACTGGAAAACTGGGGCGGATGTCCCTCCAGAGCAGGGGGTCCTGGATGGAATAATGCGGGCTCCCTGCGTCGTCCCTTTGCTGAGCACCTCCACCCAGTCCCTCCGCCTCAGGGAATTTGAGTCCACTACCTGAGAACCCCCACAAGGGGTCCTGCCAGCCTTGGGCTCAGGCACCGGGGGAGGGGGCCAGGCTCCTTCACCACAGCCGCTCCCCCTGCCGCTGTCCCTCCCTGGTCTGAGTTTGGAAGAAAAGCAAGACAGGACAGTGGGAAGAGGACTGAGAGGAGAGACAGTGTTCCCACTTGTGGCTTACTGACCCAAATCCCACACCACAGTCCGGCTTGGGGCCATAGGTCTTCTGCCTCACCATCCTCCCTCCCCCTCCTCCCTGGAGCCTTCAGACCCCCATCACCTGAAGTGGGTGACGGCTCAGCTCCTGCCTCTGGCCTGCACCGGCCCCTGGCAGCCCAGACTCCTGGCCTTAGAGGGGGAGAGCTGTCTACTGTGGAAAACAGCCAAGGAACCAGAGCCGTCCGTTCATCTGGGCAACGCGCCCGAGTGTCTTCACCAGAAATTCTTCCTAAAGTCGACCCTAACATTCCCTCTACGTGCCCTGCACCAGCTGGCTCCAAGCCGGGCTTTCTTCCCAGTTCAGCCAGCCCTGCTCCTTCTGCCGAAGCGGGACTATCAGGCAGAGCAAGAGCCCAGTTCCAAAAACGAAAACAAAAGTCTCTGCTCATTCCCAGCGCTCACCTTCTCTGTGCACCGTGTCCACCCCCGGCCACCACAGAAACCCACAGGGCACTGGAGCCTTCATCCCAAAATGAGTCAAGGTCCCTCAGAGGGGGTTGAACCAGGGTACAGGAATTTCCCTTCATGTCAAGCAAGGGCTTTACTTGACACCAACCTCTGTCCAGCCTTCTTGGCCCTTGGAGCCAAGATTGGCTTCCCTGCTCAGAGGGGCCAGAGCTCCTGTGGGCAAACCCAGTTGTCCCCTGGAGATGCCTTCCTCCCTGACCTCTGATAACACCTAACTCACCCCCTAAGTTCAACGTTAAGTAGGGGGGACCCTAAGTCCTGGCTTGGGGGCGAGAAGCGCTCAGGCCTGCTGAGCTGTACTGCGCGCCTGCCTCACGTTGTGTCCCACAGTACACTCCACATCTTCTGTCCAGGGAAGCAATGGAAATAGAAGCTTCTCCCTAGGTCTGAGGCCTCAGGGGGCTCTCAAATGGGGTACCAAGAGGCCAGCTGCAAATCTCCTAGCTCATTCTTTTTCCCTTTGTGCTCAAGAGAGCAAGAAGATTATCTTCCAGCAGGGAGGGGAGCGCTTGGAGGTGAGGAGAGGCTCCAGGGCCAGTAGGGATGGCTGGCAGGAGGAGTGGAGGCAGCGGGCCATCCAGCTGACCCCACAGGGGAGCTGGCATATCCCCCCACACCCTTGCCCCCTGCACTGCATATATTCTCTCCCTCCAAAATAGCATCTCTGGAGGGGGGAAGAGGGGGTTCTCAGCTCACTGTTCACTCCTTCCCACATTGTGTTCACAGCTCTCTGGGCTGTCTCTCGCGACCTGGTTTCCCTGCCAGGCCCTTCTGCTGTGCCTCCGCCCTCACCACTTGGCTCTTCCAGGTCCCAGACCCCTCTGGCCGAGAGGGCGCTCCTTCTCCTAGCTCGGCCCGTCTCCGTCCTGCAAGCTGTGCCTGCCACAGCATCCCCTCTGCTCTTTGAGACAGAAGTGAATTCAGTGCACATAAATGGGCACCAAATGCATTTGTGGGGGGTCTGTGTGGTCGTCACGGGGGCAGGGAGGAAATAGGGCACAGTCCTGGTTCTGTTCTCCAAGGAACTCACAAAGGAGAGGTCTGGCACGGGAGCCGCTTCCAAGTAAAGGTGGGCCATAGGCCTCTCCCAGAGCTGGGAGGCCCTCCTCCCGCTCACCCCATAGCCCTCAGGCCAGGGTCCCACACTGGATCCTGGTACACCTCACACCACTTCCAGAATCTCCTCACAAGCTCCCCTACTAGCTTCTGGACTATTTCTCATGCCGAATGTTCCCTTGCGCAGCTCCCAGGTGGGCCCTGCCCTGGGAAATGCCCAATCTGACAGAGCAGCAGGACCCAGACTAAAGAGAACAAGGTAGGCAGAGCTGGGGCATGAGAGCCGCGAGAGGGTCCCCAGGGAGAGAGTTTCCAGGGGAGGGAAGGCTGAGGGGACGCTGCTCCGGAGAAGGACTGAGGCAGGGCTGGGCTTCTGGGGTGTCTGGGCCAAAGGAAGTGGGAGGTCGGGATGGGGTGTCCGCCCAGTCTGAGGAAGGAGGAGCCTGGGGCCAGCTGTGGGTCTGGAAAAGGCCTGACCTCCTGCCTCCCTCCCTGCCCTGTTTGCGGGGGGGGGGGGGGTTAGAGGCAAGGAAAGAGAACCTCCAAGAGCCCCCCAGGGAACTACCTCACCCCCCTTGTTATTTCTGGCTCCATTTTCTTGGTCAAGAAGGGTGTCAGTGGTAATGCAAATTAGGAGGTGTTAGCCAACACCCATCCTGTCCCCACTCCCAGCCTCTCCCTCCCTCCCCCCATGCCCACGCTCACACAGCCAACTGGAACATCTGTGAGGCATGCCTGGTGCCCTTGACCTTGGCTCAGTTGGTATGGAGGGTGAGTGAAGCGGTGGGTTCTCTGGGGCACCAGCCCCTGCCCCAAGGACAGGGCAGCCATCTGATGCCCAGGTCCTCCCCCCACCTTGACCCCCTCCAGCCCTTGACCTGGCCAGGCCTCCCTGGGTCATTACCATCAGCAGAGACAGCCAATGCCTAGACCAAAGCCTTCTCTCCAGAGGGCCATGGGAGCAGCAGAGACTGGAGCACCGTCCCCAGCGCTCCCTGGCCTTGCAGTTTTGGTTAGACCTCAAAGGCACTTGGGCAACCCCGGGGCATAGCCCTGAGAACCCCTAGTTTCTCTGGAATCAATACAGAGAGACTGGAGGAAGGGCAGAAAGAGAGCAGGGCACTGGGAGGATCTCTCACACTCTTCCCCAGGAGCTGGCCTCTGCCCCAGACACCTTGTCCCCCTCCTTCCCAGTTAGAATCCACCTTGTCCTTGATGGTTCATCTGTGCGTCTGACCTCAATTCTTCCTGGGGAAGCCAAAGTGGCTCTGTTCTTGTTCTTGCTGAGGGAGAAGTGGGACCGGGGGAGCGGCCCTGCTCCCCCCACCCTATATAAAGATGTCACCCACTCTGTTCTTGTTCATTAGTCCTAATCAGCAGGGTGAGTTGTTTCTCATTAACACGGCTGACTCACCCACACACCCCTCCTCTTTGTTAGCGATCAGCTTCTCCCCTGACACACACACACACACACACACAGAGCGCGTGTGTGCTCACGCACGTGAGCACACGCACATGCCAACTTCTAGAAGGAGCTGACAGCTTGCACAGGGACCCAGAAGAGGGGCAGGGGTCTCCCAGAGAAGAGCGGCGGTGTAGGGTCCCCAGAGATGAGGCAGCTCGTAGTAAAGGAGAGACCGAAGGCAGAGGGGCCACAGCCGGAGAGAACGTTACTGGGCGCCGGCCCTTCACGGAGCCCTTGGAGATAAACCTGTGCCGACTTTGGTCCTTGTGCATCTCCCCGATCCCTATTACATCTGGCTTTGGGTCTGCGCTGGCAGGAGCCAGTGGATCCCTTGGGTGTCTTCTCCAGCCTCAACAGCGGTCTCCTCTCCATTCTGCCCCTGGAAAAGTTGTTGCAGCCTTCTCATCCTTCCAGAAGCCTCATGATCCAGATCCTTTTGTCCCCACACTCTCTCAGGCCCTAGAGAGCCCCCTACGTTACTCCCACAGACTAACAGGAACCAGAGTAGCCAAGGCCCTGTCTGATCACCATTCTACTTGAGAAGAGAAGGAGGAGTGTTGGCAGGCTCCCCAGCCCTCTCCCAGGTCCCCCACCTCTCATGTCCTCTCCTTTTGGGGGGCATTAAATGAAAGCCTGCAGTTCTGGAGGACATGGGCTGGGGACACACTGGCTTTCCCCTCTTTCTCCCTTTCCTCCCAGGCCTCAGCAACTTTCTGCCTTGCACCTGAGCCCCTCCCCAGATCCCTAGAAATCAGAGACAAACTGACAGAATATGCACCCTAGGGGCGCCTGGGTGGCTCAGTAGGTTAAAGTCTCTGCCTTTAGCTCAGGTCATGATCCCAGGGTCCTGGGATCGAGCCTCACATCGGGCTCTCCGCTCAGCATGGAGCCTGCTTCCTCCTCTCTCTGCCTGCTTCTCTGCCTACTTGTGATCTCCATCTGTCGGATAAATAAATAAAATCCTAAAAAAAAAAAAAAAAAAAAAGAATATGCACCCTATGTCCCCATGTCCTCCTCACACCGGTGACTACAAAGATGTCCAGGCTATGGGATACCTCGGTTCCCTCTTACCTTCAGACATGCCAAGGACCAGAAGTGGTTCCCCAGGTCAGGTCCCAGCCTATAGTTCATTCCCAGGTCATCCTTTGCCTTTTTTCTCTCAACGACTGGGATTTTTCTTTGCCTCATGTCCTTGTACCACCCCTAATTCACTCAAATGCTAGCAAATGTTTCCAGAGATGCAAGAAGGACGACCCAGAAACCCGGGTGCTGCCTTCTTCCATGGGAGTTGTCTGAGGTGGAAGAAGAGCAGGGTACAGAGTGCCAATGTTCCAGAAGTTTCCAGAACCTTCTTTCCCACGGTTTATGAAGCCATGTCCCATAGGAATGGCTATTCTCACCTTTCTTTGCACTCAGGATTTGGCTGCAGATGGAGTCAAGGTTGGAAGAACTTTTAGAAGCCAGCTGTAGTTGTTAACTGCAACAGAGGAGCAGAGAAAGCTGGGACATCTCCCCACTGGGGTTTGAACCTTGGCACTGTGTGTGGAGGAATGTTTGCCCTGGATCTGGAGCTGAACCTCAGCCTTCTATGAGCAATTGCCCCAGCCTTTTAAGTGAATTCTTGGCCTGCAGGGGTCATGAGGAAATGAAAGGCACCAAGAGCTGGTGAATAGAGCTCAGGCCTTTCCTGCAGACAGAGGGCACAGCTCTGACTGGGGCCAAAGTCACAGGTTTATGACCTGGCTTTGACAGCCCCGGTTGTGGGGCTTTCAAGGCAGCTGCTGAGGCTGGAGCCCAGCCCCTCCCCCACTCTCAGAACCATAAGGATATGGAACACGGGTTCTTCCTTTTTGAGGCCAAGCCTGGTTCCTGGGATGCAGAAATCACTAGGTGAAGACGTAGCTGGTCCTGAACCCCCAAGGCTTTGGAACCTCTACCTGCTGGGAGGGAAAATTCAAGAGTTCCCGACACCTGCTCAGGGCTGGGCTGGCTGCTTTGTCACAAAGACATCCTCTACTGGGGTGCCTGGGTGGCTCAGGGGATGTAGCGTCCGCCTTTGGCTCAGGTCATGATCCCAAAGTCCTGGGATCCAGCCCTCCCTCCAGCTCCCTGCTCAGCCAGGAGCCTGGTTCTCCCTCTCCCTCTGCTCCTCCCCCTGCTTGTGCTCTCTCTCTGTCTGAAACAAATAAATAAAATCTTTTAGAAAGATGCAGTTTAAATAAATTCCATGTTACAAGTTATCTGTGCCCACCTCCATACCCACGTCTCCAGAATCACCCTAAAACACTGATGCCCCACGCATCCCGTTGTCCAGTGCAACCCTGCATGGTTGTGGTTCCTCAAGAGGGTCTGCAAAACCTCCCACTACCCAGGGTTTTCTCCCCGCCCCAGCCAGGGACAGCACAGACCAAGAGCAGATGGAACAGGTAAGTTTTATTTGGACTTTCAACTTGTTCAGAGAGCTCAGGGGCCCCCACCTCCCTCTTCAGGCCCCCTTCTCCATTTCCCCTCCCCAGGGGAACCCTCAAGGTACAGTGCCATGTGTCTCTGGAGTCCTTGGTCCCTTCCTGCCTGACACACCTCTTCACTCCCCTGCACTGAGGGGGAGGAGAGGGGTGTGAGGAGGTGGGGGGGGCTGGAAGTGTTGGATCAAAATGGGACATGCACTGACGGGTAGCGCCCAC